GTTTCCACCGTGGTCTTCGTGGGCAAGCAGGTCAGGCGCGTCATTGTTCAAGCAACAACAAGCTGATGCAATGCGTGCTCCATGCTGTTTAGGTTCTCCGTTGCGCTGTCAGTAGTCTTTGTTTGATTTGTCGGCCCAAGAGTTGGGGTCGTACATGGCCCTGCACGAGAATGTTGGCAACGTCGCGGAGGCAGGGAGATGCCGATTTCAGTTGGCCCAACTTTGTCCTGTCGCGGTCCCTGTGGCGCTGGAGGAACAGTTAGCACGTTACCAGAGAGATCGGGTCAAACATGGGCTTCGTATGGAGAAGGAGACTAAGCGCGCGGCCACCTCCGAGGGCCAGCTTGTGGCTCAAAAACAACAGGTCTTCACCATGTCTCAGGAGCTGCAGCAGGTAGACAAAAGCTACGAGGATCCTGCTAAGAAGGTGGCCAGTTCTCAGCTGCAGCCGCTAACGGCCAAGTTCGACGAGAGGGCGCTATACATCAGTCCGGAGTTTCTCTTGGGAGGCGAGGTGGACGCGCTCAGCATCGATTTCGGCAGCTCTTTTCTCTCCTTCGAGGATGAGTTATCGCTGAAGGAACGGTCAGATATTGATAAGCGTCCCGGCACGTTGTCGGCACTGATTCAAGGGATGGTCAAAGAGTTGTTCAATCTCGCTGCGGACACTACACGCGAGGCCAAGGTTGCACAGGCAGCTCAGGCCGAGCGCCTTGCTCACAAGCGCCGCAGGACCGAGGCAGGCGTTGCGCCTGGCGGGCAAGTTGACGGCGTTGCTGGCGGTGCTTCCGCAGGCCCCTCAGCCGACGGGGCCGCCGCCGCCGCCGCCGGCGTCGATCATCCGTCAGAGTCGCCAGCAGCTGAGCAGGGCCCCGCGGCTTCTGCCGCGGCCATAGATGAGCCGCTGGCGCGAGTTCGCGCGGGCGCCGCCAGACTGGCGCCTCGACAGGTGCCCGCCCCCCCCCCCCCCCCCCCCCCGCCGAAGTGTAGCGACGATTTGAGACGATCGGATGCGTTCGGCTCGGTTGGGGGGGTCGCGCGCGCGTTGCGTTTCAACGCTTCGGAAGCCAGCCCCATCTTTGATATTCCCCGGCTGGGGGGGGGGGCGCGGCCTGATGTTGAGGGGATTCTGCTTTCGGTGGTGTTCAGTAAGGGAGGGGGGTGGATGGGGCTGCTGATGCGCGGCGGCGGTCTGCTGACGAGTCGTGGCATTCGCGGCCCGCGCCCTCTCCCCAAGCGTTGCGTCTGTCGCTGCGTGATCGCCTCGGCGCCAAGCCGCGCTCGCAAGGCCCCCCCGGGCTGGGGGGGGGCCCTCGGCGGCGCGAGCGCGCGCGGATATCCCGCGTCGCTGAGGGGGCCCTGCCTTCGGTGGAGTTGCGCGAGGGCGGGGGCGGGGGTGGGCGGGGCGCTTCGGCATCTCGCCGGCGCGCGGCGGCTTGCTGCGCCCGCGTCCCCCCCCCCCAAGCGCCGGGCGCGAAGTTGCAGCGCGACCCCTCGCAGCGCGACCCGGCCGACCCCCCTGGCCCCCCAGGCTGCAGCGGCTGGAGGGGTGCCATCAGGCCGGGCGCGTGCGCGTTGATCGCGGGCAGTTGCAGGCCGACGCCAGCGCGGCCTCGACTGCTCTGCGGCGCGATTCCTCTTGTCAGGGGGCTGTACTTTCTTTGAGTTTTTATGATGTCATGCCTGGGCCTTCCACGCAGCCCCCCCTGCTCGGCGGGGGGCAAACGTTTTCTTCGCATGACTGTGGAGATCCCGCCCCCGCGGGCCATCCCTGCCGCCCCGCCGCCGCCCCCGGCCGGGAGGCGTCGGGGTTGGGCGCGCAGATTGCAAATCGCAGCCCGCGGAGTGCAACCGAGGATTTGCCCAAGATGCGAGGCCCACGCTGCGCGCGGTCAACCAGCGGAATTGGATAGGGTTTCGGGCGGGCGCCTCAGGCGACGCTGGCGATCCGCGCGGTCTGCGGCGCGTTTTGGGCCCTTCGCCCCGGGCGGCCCTCCTGGCCCGCAGCTGGGCGGGGCCTCGCCCCCGCCGCGACTGCGAGGGGCTGTCTGACGGGAATCTGGACTTCTTCAGCGCGCCGGGCCCGAGGCCGGCCGCGCCGGGCACGCCGCCTCCTTGGGGGGGGGCTTCGACGTAGAACCGTCAGAGTCGAGTAAGTCAGAGCCCCCCCCCGCTCGGCGCCCTCGAAGATCGACTTCGCGCTCTCGGGCCTGCCGGAGGCAGTGGGCTCAGTTGCGCTGCGCCTGGGATCGGCCGTCTACCCCCGTTGGCCTGTCGAGCTCAAGTTCCATGCTGGGCCAGCCCAGCTCCTGTCGCGTTCCTCTCGGGAACCTCTGCCGATTCCCGCTGACCCCCCGGTTGGCCCTGCTCGCTGTCCGCCCCGGCGCGGCGAAGGCGAAGCTTCGGTCGATCGCGGGCTCCGGCGGGCCCGGGCCCAGCAGCGGGGCGCGGTGGATTCCTTCGCGCCGCGCGCTTGCAAGGCTCGGGCTGGCACGGCCGAGGGGGGCTTCGTGAAATGATGGGCGTCTTGCTCCCCTGTGTCGGGGCCCATGGGAAGGCGGCTCAGACGCGATGGGGGCCCGTGCTGGGCCCAGACAGGGGGGCCCCATGTGCCCTGCCTTGCATGTCCCTCGCTGGCTGCGCTCTGCAGCGCGCGCTCGCGTCGGCGCTGGGGAGGTCGACGCGGGCCGCGCCCTGCGCGGCGCCGAGCTTGACTGGCGGCGTCCAATGCCCAGAAAGCAGAGCAGCCCAGCAGGATCCAGGGCGCCAGACAGCTCGCGGGGGGCGCCGGCAAGGCTTGAACGGGCGCCCGGGAGCCCGGCATGCTCGAAATGCGAGTCGCGCAGGGGCCCGGGGATTTCTGCGAAGGAGCCGCGCAAAGGTTTGCCGCTCACGCATTGGAATCGAGTGGGAAAGTGCTTCCAGGACAAGCCGCAATGTCACAGAAGCCGCCGGGGCTGCCTGACCAGCAGCCGGGAGAGGGCGCCGGCCTACCCGGCTTCTTCTCTGAATCCCATCCTAGGTCCAAGAGTTATCCTGGCGTGCTTCTACGCTCGCTTAGAGAAACCAAGAGAGTGCGATGCCGCTTTCTCCGAGGCGCGGCAAGCGGCGCGCGCCTGACGTAGCGAGCCAGACCTCGACCAGTGGTGGCAGTCTGTCCTGGAGCCAAGGTCCAAGGTGGCCATTTTTCCGGATCTAGCCTAGACAGGATTGGAGCTCACGGTTTCTGGAAGGAGGTCAACAACGGAGCGAGCGGGGCCCACCAGGTTACGGTAGACCCGACGGCCAGGCGGATCACCACCTTCCCTTCTCTCGTTTTGGAGCAGTTGTCGCTGACCCTAGGGGGCCGTTTCGCGCGGGGCGTGCAACGTGCAACTCGCCCAATGACCCCCCCGATCCTCGTGCCTGAGCTGATCGGGTCGCCGCCGCGTATGTTTGCCAGGAGGGCGGCCGCCAGGCTCGATGTGTTTCACATGCGGCATTGCGTCCGCATGCGCGATGGCACGTTGGCCGCCTTGGCCCGAGTTTTCGTCTTGATTGCGGTGTTGGGCATGCTGCCCAGGCAACTTCGGGCCCACGTCGTCGCTCTGTTGGCGAAGCCATCGACGGGCTTCAGGGCAAAATGTTGATCTTTTGCCCTCATTGCATCTGGACTAAAGCTCGAAGGCCCACGGCCGTAGAGTGGGAAGTTTCGCATGGCGGGCCCCACTGGGCCGCGGGCAAGTGTAAAAGGGACCCAGGAACAGGAAGTTGCGTGGAGACAGAGCGCCCGTTCTGGCGCAGGGGAAGCTGCTGCGAGCATTTCGTGGGACGCGTTCGCGCTCCATGAGCAGATCCCGCGGGCCCTATTGTTCCACCGTTGCCGGCAGCGCTCTTTCAACCCCGCCGTCTGTGCGGCTTGCCCAGCGGTTCATCGCTCGGCGCGATGTGTGATGTTGGCCAGCGCGGTCGCCCCCTGCGATGTTTGGTGTCAGTGGGGTCGTGGCGGGGTGCAACGTCGCCGCGACCGTGATCAGGGCGTTCGGGTTAGGCGCGTTCGACGCGGTCATAATCCCTCTGGGGCCCCCCCCTGGATGTGTACATCGACGACCGTTGTTCGGAAGCTGTAGGAGCCGCGGATCATGTTGCGAAGGGTTTGATCGAAGCGGGTGAGCGTTTGCATCATGGGATAACGATGATGATGGTGGGCGAGGTTTCGATGAACAAGTTGCCACAATCTCGCATTCTAATGTGGTTGCCTCGACATTCCAAGATCACTCGGGCCCCTCGCGGGGTCCCACAAGGAGTCGGTGGTCAACTTGGGGGTCGACGGCATTGGGGCGGGGACCTACGAAGGTGCGCGGGAAGAACCAGAAGGCCAAATCCAGGGTTGCCAGGGCTTCCCGTTGCACTGCTCGGTTCAAGAGACACACGGCGATCATAGGCAGCAGGGCTAAGACCGTTTTTGTCGCGGGAGCCAATCCCGCCTTGCAATGCGGTTGCGGGATCATTAGCGTGTCCAAAGGAGCGTTGCGGAAGGTCAAGCGTCTGGCTGGATCTAGTTTGAACCCGTCTGCGGGCGAGCGCTCGCTGCGCTCTCTGCTGCGGTTGCAGGGGGGCCCGACCTGGCTCGACACGGCCGCCCTTGCATTGCGCTACGCGCGCGTGGCGTGGCTCGGGCACACCTCGTCCACTCCGCACGCTTTCTCTTGGGCCTTCTCAGTGACATACTGGGAGAAAGCGTCTGAAGGTCCCTGCCCCAGGTGGAGGTCGATCAAGGGCCCCTCGGGTGCCATGCGTCGCTTGCGCGTCTGGGTTGGGCGACGGAGGGCCCCTTCGGAGTTGAGGATGATCCCGTGGCCCCCCGCTCCTTGACCTTCATTCCCCCTGCCACCCTAAGAAGGTTCCGAGGGCCTCGACCTGCAGGTTTCTGGAGCGCGAAGCGGGGCACAAGTGCGCGTCGGGTTCCAGGTTAGGCGTCGATCTCGTCTCGGAAATGTCTGACCTCCAAGAAGTATTCTGCCCTGGACAAGGACTGCATCCGCACCGCGGCTTGTCGTGGAGTTTGGTCTCTGTCTCGCGCTGCGGCGGATTGCTTCCGAGGGTGAGGATTTGCGACGCTACACATCATCGCGCGTGGAAGCACAGGGATTGCGAAGGGGGGGGGATATTTGGCCCCGAAAAAGTTGTTGGAACATGCTGGGAGAGACAACTTGGATAGTGAAATCTTGCAGCTCGAAACTGGCTTGATTCCCCATCTGGGCGACTGGTGGCCCAGACCCCTCGGACAGGATGAAGCTGTGCTGGCACAAGCTCATTAAGGTTTTCAGCATGGGGACAGAAGCCTCACAGCAGCAGGATTTGTCGGGTGGCTTCGCCGTGCAGTCGGACTCGTAGCGTGTTCTGGCCTGGGACGTTTTCCTGGATGGCTCGTGTAAGACATCTCCCATTAAGGAGCTCTGGAGGGCGGGATGGGGCACTGCCAAAATACTGGCTGACGGCCACTTGCGCGCGTTGCTACATGGGCCCCGCTTCGCCAGCTATCCGCAGACGTGCCAGGGAGCTGAGTTCGCGGCTCCTGATTTCACGGCTGCATGTTTGACGTAAGCGCTTGTGCTTTTTAAGTCTGAGTGTGACAACCCGGCTTAGCTGTGGAAGCTGACCAGGCATGAACGCTACCCGCACAAGAGAATATATCCAGGTTTGTTTCTTCAGGCTGACGCTTTATCCAGTGGTGCTGCTGCCCATCAGGAGTTGGACGTTTCCTTGGACGCCGAGGAATTGCACAGGCGTGTAGGGAACGACTGGGTGGACAGCGGATGCCAAACTAGTAAGCCGCCCTGCACTGACGTCTGAAGAGGAGCTCCGTCGCATAGACCATCTTGTGGCAGTGTCGCGGGCGATTGTCAAACTCTCGGCAAGATGTTGCCCCATGTGGTTTCGGACCTGCTTGGGCGGGACCCAGCTAGTAAAGGAGGCGCGGGAGGAGACGATACCACCACCTTCGGCAGGCCGCCTCGCATTTTCTGGCAATGCACGAACTGTATTCGAGGCCCCCGCTTGCCCGCGATGCCGCCGAGTGGAAGGCGCACCAGGCATCCCAGAGTCCGCCCGCAAACCGTGCGGGAACTTGGACCTAGGTGCATGGTGTTGGATTGCAGTAGCGAGCCGTTTTTCCTCCTTTTGCCCTTGGTTCAATGCTTTCCTCCCCCTCTTCCTCCTGCTCCTCCTCCTCCTCCTCCTCCTTCTCCTCCTATTCCTCTAATTCCTCCTCTGCTCTGCCACTCCGCTCGCACCCCACCCGTCCTCGCGTTCGCCCGCAGCTCCCCTGCCGAGAGCACGAGATCGCCCCCACAGCTCATGCCGCCCTTGAAGTTGAGGAGGGATGTGGAGGCACGCGTAGGAACAGGGGGATGCGGAGGGATGCGGAGGAGGAGGAGGAGGATGAGGAGGAGAGGAGGAGGAGGAGGAGGAGGATCCAGCCGCACCTCGATACATCCAAGGGGGGGCCTAAAATATTGATGGGGGAGGGCGGATGGAGGGAACATGGAGGTGGAGGGACGGCATGCCTGGCACCATGGGCCATCCCTGGGCAAGCTGCGAGGGGCGTTGAGTCGCTGGCAGACCTCTGGGTCCTTGTATGGCTCGCTCGGCAAGCAGCTGCCCCGCAGTGTCTGCCGGGGTGGTCCAGGACGGCCGAGGGACCGTTAGTGGCAAGGGGTCGAAAGAAATACATGGAGAAAGATGAGTAGGAAGAGGATGAGGAGGATGAGGAGGATGGAGGAGGAGGAGGAGGAGGAGGAGGAGGAGGAGGATGACGAGGAGGAGAAAGCGAAGGAGGATCCAGGAACACCTCGAGAGATACAAGGGGGGATTTGGAAGACGGAGGAAGTGTGGGAACGGAGGGTGGATGGGAGATGGAGGGATGGAGGAGAGAACTGGGACATCCCACAGCTGTTGACTGGGTTGGAGAATGTTGTGCCCGCCAGTCAGACAGGTACACAACGGCGAGGTCAGGACTGAGCCGCGCTTGGTGGTCAGGGGAGTCCTGTCTTCGACAGGCTCCACATCGGCGCATACTGTCAGGAACCTTGGCTCAGCGTATCTCGCCACTGGTTCTGGCCCACCACGCTTCGGCGCGACATGCGATCCACGTCCCCGTTCCCCACCGCCAACGTCCCGAGCGGAGCGGAGCGACACGCTATCCGCTGGCAAGGCATTAGCGCGTCGCCAGGGCCGCCGCCGCGACACGCTGTGCAGAATCCATGACCGCAGCACAGCACAGAGACGGAGGGATGGAGGCTCTCCTCGCCCTCTCCGTCGGCCGCGCGAGGGCTACAACGGCGGCATCAGCCGCTTCTTCTGGCTCTCGGAGGAGGAGCGCCGCCAGGCCGACGAGGTCGCGGGCCAGGCGGCGGCCGCCCATGGCGGCGGGTAGAGGATGGGGCGCGCCCTGGCTCCGGCGGAGCGGCGCCCGGCGATCATCAGGCGGCGCGCCGAAGCCCGAGGTCCGAGGCTTCCGGGCGTTTGCACTGGCTCTCGGCGGTGTTCGAGCCTCGGGGTGCGTTCCAGCAGTTGCGCCTCGCCGATGGGGCGTCCCTGGGTGCCCAGATCGTCCCGAACGGCCGCTGGAGACCCGATCTATTGGGGCCACCGCGACAGTGCGAAGTTAATCGCGCTTCGCGGTCTGGGCGATTTTTCTGCGAGGCGCGAGTCCCTCATCCTTTTCAAGGGGGGGGGCGGGGGGGTTCGGCGCGAACGCGCGAAGATAGATGCCCGAGGTTTACACGTATCCCGAGAACTGCGCTCGGTGGCGCGCTGAGGGGGGAGTGGGAGGGGGCTGGCCTGCTTGGACGGCGGCGGGGCTTCGGAGAAGGCTCAAATGGCCTCCCAGGAGATTGGAGGCCTTCTGAGCCTTCCGAGAGGGCCCACCTCTCTTGCTCGGAGGATGCCGGGTCCATAAAAGGGTAAGTCCATACGGAGCGCTCGGGTTCCGTATGGACCCACTCCGCTTGGGCTCAGCCTCTCCTGATCCCTTTTGCCGCCATCCCCCACCCCTTGGGCAACAACTGAACTCGGCTGGGATCTCAACTCGGCTTGCGCGCGCTCCTCCGACAATGAGGGTTCAGGCAGAGCGGGATCGATGGGGGGGCGTGTTTGAGCCAGGGCGCGCCCATCCTGAAGCTGAGACTCGAAGGCGATTTCTGAGAAATGGCCTGCGAATCTCACCCTCAGGAGGGACGACAAGGAGGAGGAGGAGGAGGAGGAGAAGGATGAGGAGGAGGAGGAGGAGGAGGAGGAAGAAGAGGAGGAGGAGGAGATGAAACA